TCTGTCTCTCTGTGTCTCTGTCTCTCTGTCTCTCTCTCTGTGTGTGTCTCTCTCTCTCTGTCTCTCTGTGTCTGTCTCTCTCTGTGTCTCTGTCTCTCTGTGTTGTAGAGACGTGTCTGTGGAGCTCCCCTTCATCTTGATGCATCCTAAACCTGTGGAGCCTCCAGTGTCACGTCCTCAGTCAGGTGAGTGCACACACACACATTGACCGAGCACTGTGGGATGATGGGAGTTGTAGTCGTCATTGCACTTGAAAAATGGAAAGATGGAAATAATGAATTGATTATTTAAATTTTTTGTCTATCAACTAATTGATTTATTGATCAGTTATTGATCAGCCTGGTTTTACTCTGGTCTTCATACACTGAATTACCATAGTGACCAGAGGCAGTTTCCATGGAAACGATGTGACATCCTGTGTGTTTGTTACAGCTGTTCCAGAGATGGACCCGCCCATCGACACCAATTTGATAGAGTTTGACACAAAGTGAGTAAAAACCTGACGTTTGTTTCTGAATGTTTGACTTTTAATCCTGGAACCAGTCGACAGCTGCTTCGGATTCAGAGTAAAACAAGAAGGAGAAAGAATCTTCTTAGAAAACCGTTGATATAACATTTCACATCTCGTAGTTTGTGGTGAGTCGACCTCGGATGGTTAAAATATTGTGGATGAAAACCTTCAGGAAACTGTTGATCTCTGTTGAAGTCTTTTCATGAGTTCAAACACAGAAATAAGATTCTAACTTTCCAGTCGTTTGTTCGCAGCAGAATAAAGTTTCACTAACTTTGATTGATTGGTGTGTTTGATGATGTCATCCTTCGTCTAGCAGCAGCATCTCCCAGGACGACGACTTTGTCTTCGAGGACTTTGCCCGCCTGCGACTCAAAGGCGTCGTGGATGACAAAGACGAGGACTGCTAGGATTTCGACCCTTCATATGCTTGCTTCAAACACACACAGACACACACACACACACTCTTCACGTTACATTCCCCAGTGATGGATGAGGGCGTGTTTAGACGGAGGCTTCACAGGCCTCGCTGGTGTTCTTCCTCTCTTGCTTCTGCCATTCATCACGCCGCCGCCATTTCCTGCCACCGTCTCCTCCATCCATCTTCTCCGTTTCCCTGTTTTTGCTGAAGGTTTAAAAACTCTAGATGTTATGCAGCTGCAGGACAGATGTTGGCGGTCCAGATGGAATATCAGCTGTCTCTTTGTTTGTAGTTCAGGACGTTCAGGTATGGGCGGAGTCCGGAGGGCGACCACGTGAGGAAAACGATAAGAAACATGAAGAACAGACGTGTAGGAAGCTGAAGAGTCACAGAAGAAGCAGCGCTTGTCCTCCTTTACTTTGAAAATCTTCTTGAATGTCGAGCTTTTCCTGCGTCGATGATCAGCGTCACGTACAAACAGGATTTATATTTGAAGACGAGCGCAGAGATCTGTGGTGACGCAGTTTTTCTTCACATTTACACTGTAGACGCTTTTTATGTTGTGGTCGCAAAAGGAGGAAACACTCACAACAGTCTCACAGACGACTGAAGTTCGATTTCACCAGCATCCACCGACCCGACCGACCCCACCCCCCCACCCCCCCACCCTTGTTCTTTTGTTTGGAGTCATTCCTGCGTCAATGAAGTCGTTTCCTTTTATTTCAAACTTCTTACAGAAAGAAGACGTCCGGTCGTCAGCGTTTTCTGAGTTTGTAAAAATAAAGCAACAAGAAAATAAACCGTCGTTTAACAATCAAATTATTGTTTCTAGATCAGATCAGTGATTTTAAATAAAGACGAAGACTCGTCTCCTCTTCCTCCAGAAATCAAGCCTAAATATCTGATTCGAAAGTTGCCATCTTGTGGCAATGATGTTATTCACAGTCAGAGTCTTCAGTGGTGATTGTGGAGCAGTGGTCTTGAGGCCCCGCCCACACAAATACCTGACTAATCCTGAGTCAGTGTCAGCTGTCAATCATGACGTCTCCGCCTGTTTTTCTATCATCAGTAACTGATGAAACCAAACTGATGAGAAACACTTGAACAAACATCAGAGAGAAGAACGAGCTGAAACGACAGAAACATCTTTAAACATTTATTTAACGTCGATGGTTCATGTCCCATCTGCTAACATGGAGGAGGGGTTAATGACCTGCAGTCAGACACCAGGGGGCGATTATTTCATCCATCTTCATTGATTGAACAGAACAATAACAAAAATACTTTAAGTTTATTTAAGATAAAACGTACAAACTGTAAAATCAGAGGAAATCAGACTTTATGTACAGAAGATAGATTCAATGAGGTTTTTCTGTCTTTTCTCTGAAGCTGCTTCAGACTGAACTCAGGTCTGTTTTTCCTCTGGAGGACGAACTCAAACGTCAGAGTGAGACTCAGTTTGTCTGTCTCCTCCTTCACTCCTGTATAAAGTCTAAGTCCAGGAGAAGTGAGGACACAGCAGAGCGTCCTCCACTGAGTCACTGAGGGAGTGGGGGGGTGATGAGCTTCTAACACGTGACACAAACATGAAGAAACACAAACAAATGTCTCTGGAGACAAAGTGCTGACACACACGTAGAAGACACAGACGAAGACGTGAAG